CTTTCGATAGTAGTCATGGCGGCTCTTAAACAGTATCGTTTCAAATCAAAACGAACTCAAAATGCGGAAGAAAACAATGACTGAGAAGGTAAAGTGAGTATTCTACTAGAAACTACAGATAGTTGTTCTTGTAGTAAATGTCCAGTGCTACTATCGTCGAGAGAGTGCATTCGCAGTCAGAAACAACCAGATTTGGAAAACAAGATGGATGACACAAATACACATAGGAAAGATCGTCGGCCATAACGAATGAATACTTTTCATGGAAAGTGGGGTCTTTTTACTTAAATTTAGAGTTGAAAATTCCACATGTAAGAGATTAGCGGAGACGAAGTAGATTGGTATCAGTGTACTTTGTTTCCACGTTTAATTTGCTACCGGGCAAAATTCAAGGGCTTCGAGTATTTTAGAGAAGGAGGAATTCCTAGCTGTGTGCTTAAATCAAGCTTTGTTACAACTGCGATAGTGGGCTTCTACGACTAAAGTAGATCACCCATGCCCTCGCCAATGCAGAATCGGTAAGAGCAATGCTGATATTAGTCGCATTTACTCCAGGATACATGATGTAGTATACTTTCTCATTGGTGTTATGTTTTTTCTCAAATTAAATGAGACTGTAAAGTCTGCTATCATTCTGACGTGAAACCGTTTGAATCTTAATTTTGACAGCAATCGGTTATAATAGTCCAATGACGTTGGTAAAATAGTTATGTTATTCGTCACCAGATGGTTACAAGCGTGAACGATCTCTTACTCGATTGGCTCATTGCAAATAATGGTGATACCTTAAGACATGTTTTTTTTGGCTCGAATGGCAAATAAACTCAACAGTAGTTTGAATTTGTGCACTAAGAACAATGGAGATCTTAGGATGTCACTAAAAAATAATTATTAAAACAAAAAATAAGTTTTCCATTAGCTTTGGCAATGAACTGAAATAAATTTACAATTAACTCAAAACTGTTTAAAAGGGAAAAACTGTTTAGATAAACTACTTTTAGGTAACACTCGTTTAATTCTACACCAGATGGTTGTAATGGAACAATTTTGCTGTCCTCTTATTTGCTCCCTTCAAAGTGAAGTCATAAGCATTTAAAGAAAAAAATAGTTATTGGATTGTGAAATGTTTTTCTTATGCAAAATACATGGTATCCTCTTCATTTTTATTGCTCGTGCTATCATGGAACGAGGTTATATATTTAGCGACTCTTCACTTTGTTTGGGAATAATCAATTTTCAACAGAAGGAAAAAGTTGAGAAAGGTATTATGATCATCTTTTCTGTTTTCTTCTGGTATCGTTCGGATCACAAAAACATGTTTCATCTTAGGCCTATTAGTTGTTTAATTCAGTTGTTAAATTGTTGATGATGCGCTTTGGAGCTGTGTGTAATCAATTTCCGCTGACCCATTCTATTTCGACTCAGCCGATTGAATTGACCGTGAAACACTTTAAAATGTTTTCGCAGTCATCAGCAGTTGAAATGTGTTTTACTATGAGGTTGAAAAAATAAATCTTATTGTTTAAAATTTAAGGGAGAAAGTCGAAGCTAAGTAAGACTTGACACCCAATAAAATATTCGGTTTTCGAAAGTACCGGAGAGGATATATTTATCATTGTTTAGGGTTCATTGGTTTGGGCGAAAAGAAAAACAAGTAAGCAACCAGATGGAAATTTTGAAGCAACGAAGGATCATCGCCTTTCAATGAATTCTGCTTTTTTAAAATATGTGCTTCAGACTGAAGTTGATACCCCGTCGCAAGTTTTCCGTACTTTCAAGCAAAGGTGGTTTTCCGGCAAGGTTCGCTTTTGGTTAGAAACAAAAAGGCGCTAAGACGTTCGTTTCTACTCTCCATTTCATTGTTAAAAGTCGGTTTTATTACTTTTTTGGAATTCACTGGTTTATTGAAGTTACAGACAGGAATCTATAATGAGAACGGAGTTTTCGTCTCTTTGCCATGATCACAATAGCATCCACGGGTTCCAACTAAGAACGCATGACTTCCAATCTGAGGCTGAATTGTCTAAATTTTCCGTTTCCGATTTAACTCTGAAAACACTCTTGAGATGTTTTTAATTATCACGATATAGGATTTAAAAAATTAATGCAGACGTGATAGGGATCAATTTGTTTGTCAACTTCTCGTGCGACTTGTTCCGATGCCGAATAACAAGATGTCGCGCCCACAATTTTCTTGCTAAATTTTGGTTTGACACATAGGGTTTTATGGCGAGATAAAGTTACAGGATAAAAACGTTTATGATTCACCAACTCTTTAGAGCTGTTCATACTTTGTTCTCAACTTAAAATTTGGGTTTAGATAAAAAGGTCCTTTTCAAAGCAAAGAGTATACGCAAACTGAAAACTCCATTAAAGAATCAATATCTTTTTCCAATTTAAAATACATAAGTATTGATGCATGGGCGGATGCTCTTGACCTTTAGAGATTATGCGAAGCTGTTTGTTTTTCAACCATTTTTGTAAAATTAGCACTCCAGTTTTTGTCTGAACTTTAAGCATATTGGCTCTCCGACGAATCCAAGAACGCCCCTAACTGAACGAAAGCGCGTGGGCCAACAAATTAAAACACGTATATCGATTTACATCCTTCATATACTGCTACACGTCATGTTTTTCGTGCGTTTTTCTGGTGAACAATTTACTTTTAAGTGTTCAATTTAAGCTTTCCCGCAATTTTTCCTTTAATACCGGCCACAATGTCTTCATCTGAAAATAAGTTTGGTTCTTAGCTGTTCTTTTATCATTTTTCTACAAGACGTGTTGCTAGTTTGAATTCTAATTTTCTGCCGACCATTTCAGCTGAGCAAGTGTCTGTACTTGTGTCGCCTATTGGAACATCTGGCGTCGCTGGAAATGTAGATTTTGTCGTTAACTGTAGTCAAATTCCAGTCAGCTTTGAACGTGTTCTATTTAAACTAGTGTTCTCACCTCAAGAATGTTCTATAACATTTAAAATGAATTTTGTAGCTTGTATGAGCTTGAGCTTCAACTTGTAATCTGTATTTAAAATATGTACATAAATCTATAAATGACTTTCGATGCGGTCTCAACAAAGATAAAAGCCTGCTTTGTTTTTTAACGTAGATGTTGTTTTCGAGGTACCGCTCGTTTTCTTTACACCTGCGTTTCCAATTTACAGATTCATCAGACACTTCTATGTATGAATATGCATAGACTGAATTGTTTTTTACAAAATTTCAGACAGGCCATTGAAACGTTTTTCGTGACTGACCAAATGCTTACAATCACGAGGTTATATGATTTCGCGTGTTTTCCTCTCATCGCTTGAAAAGACCGTAAACCTTTTTATTTCGCTGACGCTTTGCCTTTGATTGCTATTGAAGGAGTCTGTAAAAAAGCCTTTGAATAAACAATGTCTAATTTTCGAATGTAATCCTTGATTACCTGGTTTTCGCATCACGAATGACGCATCTGGTTGGTTATTTTCATAGACGCATTGTGTGTTTTTCGCATGTTAATCCCATCTTAAGCGTAATTATCTTTCAAAGCCGGATAGCATTGTGCTGATTACTTTTACCTGTCATTTCTGTGTATTGCGCCTTCGCTCTTAACTAGTTCAGTCATTGCGACTCGAGTTTTGCTCATTTTCTACGAACGATGGTGAGAGCACATTGGTGGTCAGAGTCGAAGGAAGAGTTCACAAAATGAAAAGGTTAGTTCATCTCCATCGATGGCACAAAGAAGGTAAAACTCAGCTAAATACATTGTTCTTGATACTCAGTCTTCGTGCATTCTTGAATTACGCCGTTTTAATTCAAATGTCGTTCCGTTAACTCATCCAGTCTAAGCAGACAAGCTAAGTAACCATTTTCCGTTATTGTTTCAGTTTTCATCTTCATCTCATCTCAATTTTCTTATCTTTGAAAAACAAAATTCAGGAATAAAAACGATCGTTGTAGGTGGCTTAAGACTAATCTGTGAAAGGATTTTTTTTTAAATCATTTTTTTTCCAGGTCATAGAAAGCTTAACCTCCTCCTTCCGCCCGTTCCTATCTTCACGACTCAGTCGAATATTCTGCAATGTTAGTTAGACACAGTGAATTCCAAGATGTGGTTCGGAACTGAACGAACCAGTGTAAAAGACGCGAATGATTTCATTTGTATCACATTTAAGTCCTTTGATACCAAATAAGTTAAGCCTGCTGTTTTTGAATTTTTGAAAGCAAATAATTTTGGCTTCCTCTGACGGTAGAGGTAAACTTATAAACATTTTACCAAGTTTATCGATAAAATTCCAAGTTAAGCACATGACTTCGAAATTATCACACTTGCTTAGTCAGGGCTCAACATGACACGTACATTTCCCTTTTTAAACAGATGAGAGGTAAACAAAACTTTCCAGAATTTCGATAACTTAAATGTTGTTTCAATCCTCGATGAGAACGTTTCAATTCATTCCTTTCATGTTATCAGAAAGTGTTTTTTTTTAATGTTAGGAAATGTGTTTATTGAAGAAACGTTTCGACTTCAAGAGAATATTCTCTTATCGAGTAACAATGACGCAAATGAACAAGCCCATCAAACATTTCGAAAAAAAAGAATTTCGATCAAACCACTGATCAAACTATGACGTTTTATTTTTAAAATGATTTCAAAGTTTTTCTTTTTTTAAAATAGACTTTGGTCCTTTTCTCGTTTCAAAAAGTAAAAATAAAATTAATTTCAAGTTTTCACCTTTCTTTACCGCATATTGAGGCCAGTTTGAAAACATTTCTTTGTAAAGTTTTTATTTAGATTTTTTTCTTTCCCTTAGTTGAAGCAAAAAATTAGCCTTGGTTAATAATTTGACAGACGGGCTCGCCAAGAATTGACCGTAAACAGGTTCTATTGCGAAATTCAACGAATCACAACACTTGTTCCCGCCCTTGCTGTAGACATTTTTAATAAAATAAAGGCTGAAAAGCAGTCCTTAATTCCCCAGAGCGCAGTGAGGGAGCTATTCGCTTACTTAAGTAAACAGGCTTTCTCAAATAAAAGTGTTTTCAGACGCGAGTGTCATTAAACCAAAACTTAATCAATTACATCGGTCAATCAAATGAAAGGGAAACATCACGAACAGGCAATGAGGACTCTGAATAAAAAATTCGCAGACTGCTTCACGCACTGAAAACGTGGGTGAGCAAGTAGCGATTTCTTTCAGTTTTGAGTCTGCTTGTTGGGGAATGTGGCGTGAATTTTGTGGAATAATCACCTGACGCACAGTGAATCAAGGCAAATGCAATTCTTGATTATATTCGACACTTGATCGAAAATTTCCCTCCTTAGACGATTGTCGCTCGCTAATTACTTCCGAAAAAATATAGACGCTGACTCCAGAAAAACTTAAAGATTTAGGAGCTAGATTTTCCAGCAGGATGTTCTGAATGTTCTTTTTTTTAAGAGTGTCTCCTCATAGAGGTTATTCGAAATCAAAGGCAAACAGTTTCTAAAACGATTATTATACAAATCTACCACGAACTTAAATAATTGAAATTTGAAAAGAAACTTTACATAATATGGGGGTGTAAAGGCTTAGTCTGGCAACATGATATACCTAAAAACAAAAGAGTTAGTTCTGACGAACAGTTATTTTCACCTCCGCAAGCTTGTTTAGCTTTCGATCGAGTGGTCCTGGGCATGAGACCTGAGTAATCTTCGTCCGCCTTGTGTGCCACAGCCAGGCACCTGATCTTTGGCAGAATGCGATGAGTCGGGGTAATGTAGAGTAATTAATTAAACTATTTTAGATTTTGTCTTCCGGCTGCATCATCCGAGTAACTTGGGTTAGATTTGCTCCAGTGACTTGCCTGGGAAAATCTAGATAGCAACGATAGCTAACACATCATTTAGTTTAACAATAACGCAAAAACAACAAAATCAACCGAAAAACCAAACATCTACAACTGATCTTTGATATTTCTTTTTCGAACATGAGGAGGTACTCTTATCCACTTCAGGAAAAAAAAAAAAAAAAAAAAAAAAAAAAAAAAAAACGCTGACGAATTAACCGATACGACCATACAGGGCAAATATTTATCAATCACTTCTCAGATACACCGGAAAAGCGTTTAATATCACTCGCCAAACATCAGTGAAAGACCGTGACCTGTTTGAGTTTGACATTTCACCAAGAGTAGCTAATTTCTTACTTCCTTAGTTCAATTAAACCTCAAAGTCTCGGAGAATGAAGTGTCTTATTTCCTCCATGGGAACTAACGGGCTGGAAAAATTGGAAAATATTTTCAATTCCACGACCAATACGTCGTCATTTTGGAATTTTCTTGCCAATACATGAGACCGTGTTTAAATGGTCACTTTACATGACTTTTCCCTTGAGTTATGCTTCTAAAAAAAAACCCGGTCGGGCAATATAGTAAAACTATGGAGTTTTTTTTAATTAAAAAGGGAGCGACAAGTCGAAGTCGGTGAAGAGAAAAAAGATCGATTATATTAAGTTACCGCGATTAGCCAGGTGTGTACATATTACGCGTGTCTTTATAAGACTTCCAGGGCAGGGTTCATTTCCATTTGGTTGTATAACGCGTTTACTGCAATAGGTTATGTTCTAGGCTGAATCAGTCCGAATATTACCACGTTGTTTAGCAGGTTATCGCAAAAATTAGTATCGTTATAAGGAAAGGAATTGCAAGAGCCAATTCACTCAGTTCTACCATAACATTTTATCTTGAAACATTTCGCTTGAAGTTGTTTCAGAAGCCTCTTCATTTTGAAGTATATTGTTGCATGGTGATTTTGGAGGACGTAGGAACTCTTTGATTTGGTAAGTGAACAAGACGCTGTTTTCGGCTGATACTGATGTACATTTCGAGCGGATGTAACGGGACAAAAGTAAATAATTTTGAGGCTGCTGAAGCACTGAAGCAATTTAAGACGTACTTAGCTCGTCTGGAATAGCGAGCATAACTAAGTCACTATTAAATGTATCAGTACGCCTTACGATAAAACGACGGTGGTTGTTAGGCAGAAAAAGCGAAAGGAAATTGATCGTTCGTTATAGTGTTTCTATATAATAACAAGAATTAAAAGAGCTGACAAATGAGAAATTTTAGCCGAATCTATCAAAATTGTCATTTTAAAACCCTTTTATTCTGAACAATAGTCAGTGGCTTTCCTTTGATTCATTCACCCACTTTTTTTAATCTGTGCATGTACCCTAATGTAGCACTCCATTTTGGTACGAGGAAAAGCTTTCACCTAGTGTTTGATCTGTAGCTTTGAGTTTTTCAATTAAGTTCGCAACGTACCCGTCTATGAACGTATTTCCCGTTTCATATAAACGATTATGAAACAAACCCATATCAGTAGTTCAATGATAAATGGGCTCACGGAACAGCTGAGTGTGGAATGAACGAGAAATCCGAACACAGCACTGAAAGGAAACCTAAAGGGTGTCTAATAATCGTTATATAAATATGAAATTCAGTGAGTTTCAAGCTCACAAAATCATATATACATCGCTGATATAGAGTAACGGAAATAGCTCTTAACGTTTTGCTTAGTCTCAGTCACTATCCATTTACCAGTTAGAATATGACCTCGAGATTTTTACCTCGTGATAGTTGGTGATAACGAATTGAGCCCGAATTTACTATCACGCATCGACAGCGAGAGCGAATAATCTAATTATTTTAATGTAAATCTAAAAAAATCTGAACTTGGTAACACGACAGCTGTTTTTTTTTCCATTTATTTTTCTTTGTTTAAAACTTAGCACTGTTAGGTTGCTCGCCTTACTCTTTCAATATCTGTATGATAAGAAGAAGCTTTAATCAATGCAATCGGATTGCAGCATTTGTGATGAAATGCCAGTAGATCTATTTTTAAGCTTGACATTTTCATTTCTTCGTAAGAGAGCGATTTTTTGGAGACATCAGTAACGTAAGAAAATCGGAGTTTAACCTACGTCCTAAGTCTTTTTGTTCGGCTAAAATGATCGACATTCGTTTAAAAACGACCCTGGATGGGAATCATAGCCCAGTCCCATAGTAAGAACCTGCTGCTCAGAACTTCAAACCTTTCTGATTCAAAGCAGACACCTGACATGTAAAAGCAGATGAAAATGATATTATTTCATTAGTTTCGCAATACTGACAGTTAGAAATGTATCGTTCAATTAATAAGAAACATGAGCAAATTGCAGATAATGTAGAAGTGACTCGACGTCTATCAACCACTGACCGATCAGTTATTAAATTTTCAAGCATCTATACATTTGTGCTCCTTCCGTTGTCGTTTCGTGCGATAGAGGATCTTCCAATTCGTAAGCGGGTGTTTCAATTTTGCTTGTCAGAAATGTTCATTACTTGCATCGGCATTATAAATACTAATACGGCCGAACCTTGATTATCCGGACCTAGGAAAACTGGACTGTGTAATCCGGATAACTGAGAAACCGGATAATTGAAAATGTGAATGTAAATATTCATAGATAATGGGACCAGCGAAGCAACTCCGGATAATCGAAAAGTCTAGACATCGAGGTCCGGATATAATGGAGGTTTGAATGAATAATTGAAACGCCAGTGGAGATGTTTTTAAAAGTATTTATAATCGTTAGGCGTAGAACAAAGAAAAAACTAAGTCCCTTATAAAGCTGATTTACGTAGAATCGGAAGAACTCCTTTGCGTGTTGCACGATGTACTTAGTGCCAGGGTTTATCATGATAACCATTCATGCGTCCTGCATTTCTTATTGGATCAGCAGTGTCAAGCATACTTAGATGAGACGAAGAAGATGTGGCAATATCTCCACTTGGTTTATGAATAGAGAGATTTCTTTTTGCTACAAAGTCTTCGATAACTTTATTGGTTTTCAACGCCTTACTTGCCAGACATTGTATTCGCCGGATTTGCATGTCAGCGCGTAAGTCTGCAGCCAATTAGTACTATAAAGAACTACACTTATCCGCATGTTTAAAAATGATGTAAAATAAACATTAATTAACACAATACGAGGAATGTTGATACAACGCTAGAAATGAGATGACAAGGTGACAGAGGTGTGTTTGTTTTCCACTGATTAGATGGTGAGTTGTTTTCAGAGAGGCGCCGTGCAATTGCTGACCGCTTATAATTTGGTTTTGCTAGGCGGAAGTTCGAGTTGGGTTTTCATTCGCTGCTTCTGGCTATAAGCCCAGAAAGTTTCTCTCACATTTTTACTTCGTGAAGTTTGAACTTCAAATTGTTAGCCTGGCACAACAAATACGCAGTAAGTCTGTAATCCTGGGGGCATTTCTTATACTTTAGTTCATAATCTTCGCAGCAACTGCGTTCATTATTGATATAAATATTTTTTATTATTTTGTAGTCGCAATTGATGAAAACTGTTGCACAATCTAAACTTGTTTTCTCTATAAAAATCCAACATCTTTTTTGTTTTTGAATGCAATTATCATGAATCGTAGAAAGGGAGACCAGTTTATTTTTTATGAACCAGAAAGAGATCGCAGAGAAATGTGAGATTTTCCAAGCTGCAATTTTAAACGTGTCACCGTTGTCGTTGCGCAGTACCTGTTAAAAACTACCGGTTATCTGAAATTATCAAATGTCTCCTTTTTTTTCAGTTTCAATCAATGATACTGAGGATATCTTTATGATTTTCTCCTTGACTATTTGAAGCCAAGAACAAATTTTTAATGTATTCTGTCCGCGAACAGGCAGCTTAGTTAACTGATTAGTCCGCTATCGAAATTTGTCAACATACAATGACATGTTGTATTGTGCTCTACACACGATTGCAAATAATGTTTCCTCAAGTTGTGCAGAAGATGCATTAATTTTTTCGTTTCATTCTTTAAATAAGTTTCGGTGTACTCTTAAGCGTAGGCATGGAAATGTAGAGGAGGGAGGCTCTGACTAAGTGCTGACGCTCAAAACGTCGGCTTTAATTAGAAACTCTTTACGGTGGCAAATTTGTATTAAAAACTCAGTCATTGAAACCAAATTGTCTAGCAGAGAGACAAAGGACAGATAAAAATTTGGTGGTTGACAGACTGACATCACGGCTGGAAGATCTTAATAGCTGATCTCTCAAGCGTGTTCGCGGCCTTTGAAATGCAAAGTGACCCAAACTAACAGAGAACGTGAAAATACTAATTAAGAATGCTAGTTGTTTTAAATGCGCTTTAATTTTGCAACAGGTCTATACTCGGACTTTTATCACACTATAATTTGGCGATCAACTGTTGGTTCGCGACCCGATAAACCATATTCACTTGCAAAGGCTGTTATGACCGCTGCGCGCGTCTGCTCTTCTAACATAAGTTACCCGTAGTTTGGGAGCAGTTCGAAACATTGAAAATTAAGGCTCCAGTCAGGATTGGAAAAAATCCAACTTAAATTGAATTTAGAACTTCACTTCTTATTGATTTAGTGAGTGGACCAGTATAGAGCTCAGGAAGCTCGAAATTCTGAAAATTAAAATGCGTTTATTTGTTGAATATCTTTTTCCAGTTCAATTGAACCAAATGTGCGTTTTACTTTCAGAGACAGTCGCATTAGGTGGACACGAAATATCTGAAAACCACTGAAAAAGGTACTTCTTGACTGAATATCCTGACAAGATATATACTGGATATCATGATTTATCAGATTGACCACAAAGGAAATACGACCGTGTCTTATAACTCAACGCCAGCACCAGACTCGGAAGCTGCTGAATATGATTTTCCCAATTTAGCGATTCCAGTCCTGGTATTCATGGTATTCATACTTGCGATAAACGGTGGTGTTATTCTGCTCATCGGATCTAACTCATCCTTGCGAACAACAAGTAACATTGTCCTCGCCAGTTTAGCTGTTTCAGACTTCCTGGTAGGCCTGGTTGGTATTCCAATCCTTGTGGTATGTAGTTCCACGTTGATATCTTCTCTCTGTGTTATCTCCTACACCTTTTTCACATTTACAGCCCAGTGCACAGTACTTCATATCACTGTAATGACCTGCGATCGTTTCATTTATATCATGTGGGCGTTACGTTACCGAGATATTGTTAACCGCTCAAGGGTCATGACAGTGCTTGGTATCACATGGTTCCTCAGTCTTACTTCCTTGATTCGCCTATGCTGGACTTTGAACCTAAACATCCGCGAAGCAGAGGAATACCTCGCCCAGGAAAAACAGCGAGAAACAATTCTCTTTTTGTTCAATATCATTGCGTTTTTCTTGATTCCATTTGTTGTCATGATTGTTCTCGACGTGCGCATGCTGTTGTTGCTTCGCAAACAAAGCATGAGAATTGCACGTGAAAACATGCCATCACAATGCATGAAATATGAACAAAAGATGCAGAAAAGACAAAGAAGATTTGTGTTGACTTGTGTTCTGCTTCTAGTCCTGTACATTCTTTTCTGGCTGCCGTATTTTATCATGGAAATTTTACAACAGAGCCATCAGGGGCAAGTGCCAAACCAAATTGTAATTACGATTTACTATCTTCGCCTCTGTACCTCAATATCTAATCCATTAATCTACACCCTGAGGAAACATGATCTGAAGAAAAAAGTCAAGAAGATTTGTAAGGCGACTTTTTCTGGCCAGTATCAAGGTTT